GTGTGTCACCTGTGTGTGTGTTTGTCCTGTAGTGACTGTGGAGTAGCATTATACTGGGTGCCTAGTGAAAGCTTTGTATCTATCCCTGGAGAAATAATTTAGATACACCCAGTCATTGTCACCTCCATATTCTATATTGATCATTTTGTTACCAGCAGTTTTAAGTCGTGAGCATTTAATTTTGATATTTTTATGTGTACAACAACTTGCAGTGTTTAAGGTGCAAGTTCAGATCTTTAGTTTAACTAAGCGGCATGAGAATTCCTTTGTAATTTTATTAAATCTGACTTGTGTAAAGAGACCAATGACTGAAGATGATTTTCACATGCTAATAGATTATATGCTATAGCAAAATGTGGCTTTGTGTTGCTACTCCAGCAGCTGCAGTTTCAAGTATAGTTATTACCAGCTACAATATCACCCAGTTTTTTCCTAAAAAAATTACCAAAAGAAGTTCATGCTATTGACTCATTTACTCCTATATTTATTATTCCTATTGAAAATCACTAGACCTAATTCTATTGGTTTCTGTCCTGATTGAAAACATTTGAACCTAGAAAGCATAGTATTTCTTAAGACATTTGTAACTATTCATCATGGATATTAAAATTACAATCATGCTGCATTGTGTGAGCAATGATTTTTTAAAAAAAATCTTTACACATATGGTAAGCGGGTGACCAATGCTATCCAGGTTTGAAGATGCTGAATGTTCTTATAACTGGTATTTGAAATTTTGATGTGTATTGCATTTGTTACTGAATATCGAGAATACATTTTTTTGCTGGTATAGAGTAAATTTAAAATGGGGTCTTTTGTAGAAGCACCCATCCTGTTTAGAATGATATAACAGATGCTGAATGTTCACATATCAAACAAAATGCCAGCTTTCTGTAGAAAAGAGGTGTCAAAAAGTTTCTTTGTACCTTTAACGCATGTGATTATGTAGTACAAAATGCAGAGTTTGTAAAATTTCTTGAATATACAGGCAAAAAAATGAATAATTCAAAACAACTCGTAAGTTCTACATTCTATTGTCCCTTTATAACGCAGGCAGAAGATAACAGTGTGCTCCCAATAGAGCTGAATTTGCACAAGTTACACCTCTGAAAATGCCAGATGGTCTATGGTCTACTTTTGAGAGCTGTCACATATGTAAAGATTTGAAAAAAGAAAGACAGCTGAATGAGAGCAGTGGATCATTAAAGGGAGAGCGAGGGTCCCTAGGCATCACTTGTGTTTTAAGAAGCATTGTGTCGTTTCCATATTAGCGTGCCTTTTTTTTTTAAAGCCATACACAACTTTTACACAATGAGGAAAAGAAATCTGTTTAAAGCCAAGTAGTTGTGATTTAATCGTTCAGGCGTTTTTGTTCTTTATTTAAAAATAAAATCATATTTTCTGCTTGATTTTAATTGGAATTTTACCATAAGCTTCAAGTCATACCCATAAAAAATTATCAACAAAGTTGAATTTGATATCTGTTGCGATAGCTAATATATCTAGGGCTTATCCAGTTTTGCTTTGACTTATGTACCACATGCATCTGGCAAAATTATTCAAATAAGAAATTGTTTTAATATCAAAAAACTGGAGTAAAGAGAGGATACTTGGTTATCTGACCATAATATAAACTACTGTAAAAATAATGAGGTGACAGTGAAACAAAAATAATGTACTATTATGTATCTGCAACAGAAATAGGTATCATTTTGAAGATTGAAATGTGGATAAATCATTAAGGATATGTTAGAATATCATTCCAGCTATACCCGGTATTTGCAAACAGTCAATTTTGATAGTAAAAAAATGTCAAATCTGTCAATTTTAGAATTTGATGGCAGGACACAGTCGTCATTTACCACCATTATTTTTATTTATTGGGAATATTTAACTATTAAAAAGTAATTCTAAATTTACTTTGGATTATGGAATATTACAGAACGTTTTTGATTGACAAGGAGTCTTCCTAGCATTGGTCAATGACATTTCAACTTAATCAAGCTCTCAGATTGCTTGAATTATTCTTTTTAGAGAAAAAGTGGTACTAAACATTCCATTTATTTGGTGAGATTACTGGAAAGTGCTTTGAAAAGAACACCAAATTAGGTTTAACTGTCTTTTTTGGCATCCTTTTAAATACATATGCATAACTATCTTTATGTTCAATAGCAGTCATTAGAATGTCATTCCAGTTGATACAAGAAGTTTCAGAAGCAGCAAATTAATCTCTAAATCAAACGATTGCATACCCATAAGAAATAGATCTTCTTTTGCAGATGCTTTGACTGTAGATTTTAGTTATGAAAAGGGCATATATAGCTGCTAAACAGATTTGTACCTTTTAGACAATTATTCCCCTTTGTTTATCATTTAAGACTGAAAAACTGTAAGAGAATTTCAAATATTACTTTTATAAATCAGACATTAATGTTAGTAGACTTTGTATGAAAACATGCTTTTGTTAAGTAAAAAATATGAGTATGTCCTTTTTCTTCAAATATGCACATTCACGAGTAGAATATTTTGGTATGTTAGGATGTTTTTTGTCATGGTACATAGGATATGTGAATAAGAACTGAAGTAAACAGTGGCGTGCTGAAGACTTACTCAGATACAAACTGTCTTCTGTCAAAAATATGTACCAAGTCTTATGTAGTTCCCAGACTGCAGAAAATCAGTTTCTTTTAGACATTTATCAACTTTATGTATAACTGTTATTGCTTTGCATGCAATACTGTTTCTAAGTGGAAGAGTCATATGTAATTTACATTTCATGATTGTTCATACTCATAAACAGAGAAACAACTAATTAAAGCAACAGTTTTAGATTTTGAAATTCCAGGAAAGCATAGAATAGTAAAATTTTCACAATGACTGTTTTTTGTTGTTGCTGGGTTTTTTGCTGAAAAACTATGATTTATAGCTTTGCTTAAGATCTACACAATGAAGGTAAATGAGAATTTAATAATAACCTCATTACTTAACCAATGTACACAGATAACTTTTGGGGCCCATCAGAACTTTAAGCTTCCCAAAACCAGAATCTTGGCTGATTTAAATATAAAATGAATTTATTATCAGCACATAGCCTCTCCCAGAGTTATACAGCCAAGGATCATATCCATCCTTTCAGTAGGGCTTCTCTGATGGAAACCCCTACTGCACCATTGGACCACTGTTTTGCTAGGAAGTGGACTTCAGAAGCTGCCCCATACTGCCAAGAACGGAAAGGCTCCACTTCCGTGGTGTGACTGACACCTTGCACTTGTCACTTCTAAATGTAAGCCATAGTTCTGCTTGCAGAACTTATATCACATACCTGCCCTCTAGCTGCAGAGTAGTATAGGATGTAATAGGGGAATTTACCAAAATCTGTGAGTATGTTCAGAAATGCTGGGCATACAAATGATGAATATTCACCCTGCTTGTTTTAGGATTCATTGTCCAAAGAATCCTATTTGTTTGTCCTTCCTTATATCATGCTGTTAAAATAGTCTCCTGTATTTTCGCTTTAAGCTAAAAAGGTTTTGCTTTTCCTACATAGGCATTTAATATATCTGGAGTTTATTTGTATGAGGCATATATATGCACATACATGTGCACACACCTACATATTTGGGGCTCTACTGTTCCATTGGGTTATATGTCTATGCCTGTTCCAACACCATGCTGCTTTTGTTACTTTAATTTTATAGTAAGATTTCATACCTGGTAAGTCAAGTCCCAGAATCCTTTTTCTTCCTTAAAATTTCCCTGGTGGTTCTTAATTACTCTTCCATATACATGTTTGGACCGGTTTGTCAAGTTTCATAAACAAGCCTGTTGGAAATGTTATGAGAATTACATTAAATAATAAATTAGGACAGATTTATAATATTAACAGAATTAACATATTTATACTTTCTCCATTTACTTGGGTTTCTTTTATGCCTTTCAGTAATGTTTTGTAATTTTTGCTGTACAAACTCTGCCCATTTTTTCCTAGTTTAATTCCTAGATACTTGTAGGGTTTTTTGTTTGTGGGCTTGTTTTTTTTTTCTTTTTTTGGCTATTATGAAGAAAGTTAATTTTTTCTTGTGTATTCGTTAATTGGTTACTGTTTGCATATAGGAACATTGTTGATTTTTATGTGGTTGTGTATAAATCTTGCTAAATTCTTAGTTTTTCAGAAATTATAGTCTCTTAGTTTATCCCCAGAGCATTCAAATCTGTGCACATCTCAAAAATTTTATTTCTTCTTTTCCAGAATTCAAACCTATTAAAATTCTTTGTCTTGTTTCTTGCTTTCACTGGGACCTCCAGTTAATGTTGCATGAGTGGGGTGAGGGTGGGCATTCTTTGCTTTGTCTGGCCCAAATGAGAGTAATTCTAAAGTGTTGACACTTAATTTTGGTAAATATATTTTATAAGATCAAGGAAGTTCTCTTGTACTCCTAACTTTTCATAAATGATTAATTTTAAAATCAAATTAAAGAATAAGTATAGAAAAGATTTTCTTCTCTGGGATTTAAAATGGAATTATAAAAACCACTATATTTCTCTCTGTATTGTCCAGCTTTGAATATCTGAATTCATCATTCCTTTCCTTTTATTTCAAAAGATAGTTGAGTAGTTTATTATTAGTCGTATTGAGATAACACTGTTTTATCTATTGCACCCCAAAGAGTGCCCAGCACATAGAAAACAATCAAGATTTGCTGAATGAGTGTTAAAATATGTTTTCAAATTTCTAACTTAAATTTCCTTACCAAAACCAGTATTTTTCTGCTCTTTGTTTATATCCTTGTGTAAAGTCACTTCCGATGACCCCACTTCCACTTTCCCTGTAGTAAGTATGCTTTTTCTATGTCTATGTTTGTATTTTTCTTTCTTTGTTGCCTCTTACAGTTTTAGTATCATGGTTAAAACCCCAAATCTCTGGTACTGAATGTATTTTCATTCTTGTAAAATATTAATTTCTTTTTCTTAACTGTATACATTTTTTCTTTCTGTTTTAGCCCAACCTCAGCGCTTGCCTCAGCTTCAAACTTCAGCACAGGAACCGAGTGAGGAGGAAATAAGCAAGATAAAGAACGGCCACACAAGTCTGAGCAATGGAAATGGAATTCACCACGGGGCCAAACATGTATCCGCAGATAATCGCAAACTTTCAGCACCTGTTTCTCAAAAAATGCATAGAAAAATTCAGTCCAGCTTGTCTGTAAACAACGATATCAGTAAAAAGAGCAAAGTAAATGCTGTCTTTTCCCAAAAGACAGGCTCTTCACCTGAAGGTAAGTTTGAGATATATGCATAGTTTATTTCACCAGATGTAAAATCATGTTGACTAGTAATTATTTGATCAAGCAAACATAATTGAAGAATCTTGCTTATCCTTCAGACAAACAGGAATTTTGGTAAAATGCAGCTTAACTTCCCCAAAGGAAAACACAGGATAGAAAAGGAAGCATTAGCAGCTGACATCCTGCTTTTAGATTATCGTCTTCTAGAGTGAAGTCATGACTTTAAATAAACTGCTATACTTCTTTTTTTAATGCTACATTTAAAAATATGAATACAACATTTTGGTGGCATACATGAGTGTTGTGTGTGTATTTTTATCCCTCCCTGATGCAATATGTTATTCTATAGTTCGGAGATAAGATTACCTGCTTGTATTTTTGTCTTGCAAATCAGTTCTTAAATATGCAAAGCTCAGATGAGAAAAAGATTGGATAATTTTCATGCTTTTGCCAGAGAATGGGCCAGGTGATTTCTATGGCTGACTGACCACGATCTTCCAGCCACCACATTGCCACCTCCCCACCCCATTCCAGCCCGACTGTGGTCTGGCCATTAGGGCCTCCTTTGCGGGCACTTGGCTTTGCTTTCTGACCGCTGGGAATTAGTTATTACCTCTTCAGTTCTACCTCATCCTGCCCTTGGCCAGGTTAAAGTCAGGTTAAAAACTATGAACCTGAGAAAGTTTTTCATTATTATAAAACAAATCCATGTGATGACAATTAACTTACAGACTCCTTTTACATGGTTCAATGTATTATGTTAAAAAAAGAAAAATCTCCCCTCATGTTTAAGGTTCCAGATTTTTCCCAGCATATCTATGATCCTCTGCTATTCCTCCTTTCCTCCTTTTAGCAGTTCTTGGGCATCTAAAACCTTGAATCTGATATATATAACCTTTTGCCTTTACCCTTCTATTCCCTTTCCCTTCCCTTTCTATTTTTGCCATGAAATCTTAAATAAGAGAAATTCTATGGAATGCCTCTGTGACGTTGGCTATGCTTATTCATAGACATAAATTGAGTTGTAAATAGGAAATTGTATTGAGAGTTACCAGTAATGAGTGGGAGAAAGGATATTACATTTTGGCTACAGGTGTCTCAAACTCCACTGAGGTAAAGTGTTAGGTTGATCAAATGATATGATAATAAATGGTCTGCATAGTTCTAGGTCAGTGACACTACTTTCCAAACTAATTAGATTGAAAGGGACTTGATTGACACTTTAAAATGAGTTTGACATGTAAGCTGCATGGTCATCTCTGAAGCATAGGTAGGCTGTTAACTAAACTGGCTCTCCAAGGAGTTGGGAAGGCAATGCAATTTTCTTTAGAGGATCTTCACTTCTAGGTGATTGGGTGAAATAATTGAATGCAATTGAAATCTACTTGTTTTATACATTTGAATTTACTTATTATGTCCCTAACCTCTTATTTTCCATTTGATATTTACTTATTTTAGTATTAAAGAATGGTAACATTTTACATATCAATCCAACTTGAAATAGCTTATGGAATTTTTATAAAATTTTTCATTTTTGGTTGTTTTTAGTACCATGTCTGAATTTATTTCTGATGTAAGAATGTAGCTTCATAAGTAACATATGAAGGATGAGGAAAATCACCAATCTGTGAATGAAATACAGTTCTGCCCTTCCTCTTCCTCTCTCTCTCTGTCCTTTTCCCCTTCCCCCTTTCTCTTTCCCTTCTTCCTCTCCCCCTCTCATGTACACACCCACACTATGGCTTACCACAAAGATCTGGATAAGGGAAGTTCCTTGTTAATCTGCTTTTATCCCAAAATATATTCCAGATTGGGCTGGGGACATAATGAGTATGAAGTACAACTGAAAATGTCTAAACATATTGTACAAAGTCCTATCCATAACTTCGCTGTTAAGGCTGCAGAATTTAGCCAATTGTAGATTCATTCCTTTTATTGTAATTGCTAGAATCTAGATTAAAATTCCATTGTCCATATTTTTCTCAAAGTTAGATATCATGATAAATTTTGTTACTATTTAAGGTTGTGTTCTAAAATTTTGTTGTTTGTTCTGACTTTTAGTTTTGAAGTTAAGTTTTTTTCTCTGGCAATGTGCTGTAATAAAAAACAAAAACAAAACAAAACAAAACAAAACCCCACCAAACTGATAGATAAAAAATTAAAAGGAAAAACACTCTGAACTCTGCCACCAGCTTGCTGGGGGACTTGGGTTTCTGTGGGCCTCCTTTTTCTCTGAAATGAAGAGTTTGGATTAAATCATCTTAAAAATTAAGTTCAGTGCTGAGAGTCTGTGATTCTCCTTTTACAGCAAAGCTGCTTCACTCTCAGGACAGGTCTCTTGCTCTACAAAATATGTGATCCCTTGTTGAGGAGAGACCTAAAACCTGCTGTACAGAACAGGGCAGCAGCAGAAACAGTTTTGGTGAACAGAAATTGCACATGAATTTCAGGAGGCCTGTATGTCAGAACAGTAGGCCTTGAACAGGCTTGATTTGCTGTGAAAATAAAAATGGTTACAAATTATTTTTACAAAAGCAGTAACAATGGGGGGAGGATTTAATAGCTAGGAGTCTTTGTCCATTTGTGCTGCTGTAACAAAATACCTGAGACTGGGCACTTGATAAAGAGCAGAAATTTATTCTCTCACAGTTCTGGAGACTGGCAAGTCCCAAGATCAAGGTGCTGGCGGGTTCAGCTCTCTGCTTCCAAGATGGTGCCTTATTGCTTCATCCTTTGAAGGAGAGGAACACTGTGTCCTCACATGGCAGAAACCAGGTCAAGAGATCAAAAACTGTGTGAAGCCTCTTTTATTAGGGTCTTAATCTTATTCATGGGTGAGAAGCCCTCATGGCGAAATCACCTCTTAAAGGCCCCACCTCTTAGTACAATCACATTGCATGTTACGTTTCAGTGCCTGAATTTGGGAGAGATCACATTCAAACCATACCACTAGGCTTTTTTCAGTTTACTGTTTCGCATTTTTCAGAAGTCTTCATCATCTGCTCTACTGACAGCAAATGAGCAAACAAGTAGCAAAATAATATAAACCCCAAACCTCAAAAGCAGCTAGCCATGCCCACTTTGACAATGTGTGCTGTTTCTGGGTCCTACATGGTGCTTGTGGTTGTGATTTTTGTATTACACATAAATATTTATTTTTATTTTTTTATTTTTTTTTGAGACAGAATCTCACTCTTTTTGCCTGGGCTAGAGTGCCGTGGCATCAGCCTAGCTCACAGCAACCTCACACTCCTGGACTCAAGCAATCTTTCTGCCTCAGCCTCCTGAGTAGCTGGGACTACAGGCATGCGCCACCATTCACATAAATAATATTAACAACTAGAGGGGCATTTTTCTGGTTCAGATGATGGAATTAAATATTTAACTATTTCATAGTGTTTGATTAAGAGCACTAAGGGCCTCTTTGCTCTTCCAGACCAAGTTTGGAAAATACTGCTAAGATGTGAGACCATTGCTTATATAGCGGTAAGGACTGAACCAGCTGTGTAATTGAGTCTGTGGGTTGGAGAGACGTTTTAATATGTCTTTAACTGTGGGTCACCTAAGGCCTGAGAGCAAATGAGCCTACACTTAAGCAGACTCCTTTTAAGCTCTGTTGATTCATATAGTTAGAGTGGCTTCTGTGTGCTACCTGCTTCTCTCACATAAACTCATTTAATCTTCCCAACAGCACTACAAGTCTATGAATTATAGACACGTTCTGTCACACAGTCCATGCCTCCTCACCTTTATGCTGTTTTGCCTTATTAAAGTTTTCTGAGAAAAACATAATATACTGGCCATTGCGACATTACATTGTTAATGGTGTTACAGCTGCACGTCAGGTAGGGATCTTATTAGCATACAATCGCCTTCTTTTTTTTTTTTTTTTTTTTTTGAGACAGAGTCTCACTGTGTTGCCCGGGCTAAAGTGCTGTGGCGTCATCCTAGCTCACAGCAACCTCAAACTCCTGGGCTCAAGCGATCCTCCTGCCTCAGCCTCCCAAGTAGCTGGGACTACAGGCACGCGCCACCATGCCCGGCTAATTTTTTCTATATATTTTTAGTTGTCCAATTAATTTCTTTCTAATTTTAGTAGAGACGGGGTCTCGCTCTTGCTCAGGCTGGTTTTGAACTCCTGAGCTCAAACAATCCACCCGCCTCGGCCTCCCAGAGAGCTAGGATTACAGGCATGAGCCACCGCGCCCGGCCACTACATTCGCCTTCTTACCAAAATTTTACACACCAACTCTCACATCTGTGTTCTCTGTTTCCCTTTTTCTACTAGATTGTAAATCCCTAAAAAGACTAGACTGAGTCTGAATGAATTTTTTTTTTAATTTACAGTGGTGCCTAGCATAAAAACTTCATAGAGTGTCTCATGAGCTAATAAATGATATGACTCTTTATTCCAAAACACTTTATCCAACTCTTCCTTGAAACTAGCACTGGAAAATAAAATATGTGCTCATATTCACTAAAACATGTTCTTTTGAAAAGTCCCATTTTTGCAACAGAGGAAAAGAAATAGCCATGTGGGAAAATATTGCAGATTTTATTTAAAGGTTATTAAATTAGTAGATTTCTACTTGTTTTGTATAATTAAATATTTCCATACATACTTTAATTTTCTGATTGCATCACTCAGGTGGAGAGTTTTAAGACTAAATGTTTAAGATTCTTGACCTTTGAAATAATTATAGTATAATTTAGTATCATATAATATTCAAATTGCCAAGGGTTTTCATTATATTTGAAGACACTTTTCTTATCATAGGAGTGGTAAATCCTAATGTGTTTTAAGTATGCCAGTTACAGCTATATATATTTATAAAAATTACATTTCAAGAAAAATATTTTTAGAGAGATTTTATACTTTTCAGGAATTTTGGATAGTTAGTTTATACTCCATATTTGATAGTCTAGATTTAGTATTTACAGAGAAATACATACCCAATCCTAGCATGTCATTGAACATAAATGCTGAACAA